TGTATGTAAATGTAATTATAATACTCTCCCTAGGGAAGGGTAAGTGATTATGTGTCAGAATCACATGTGATAATCATATACCACCTCTTAGCTATCTACAGAACTCTGCACAATCATTAGCATGGGTTTTAGAAATATGGCAGCATTATGTAGCATTCTGTTTTATAAGCCCAATAAACTTCCACAGATCAAAACATTATAAAAGTGGAAACACTAAATTGCTAGCATTTATTGCCTTAAAAATTTAGAGCTATAATTTATTTTAATCGTTTTTCACTTTTCATTTTAAAAGATGAAGGGAGAAGCAGAGTTAATGCCTCCATTTTCATTATCTAAAAATGGAAGTCTTTGGAAATGAAATGAGCTGCAACAGAGACACTAAATTGATGGGTATTCAGAGCTTACTTGCTGGTAATTTAGCTTTGAGACCGTTATTACAGAAACCTATTAGAACAAAACCTTTTAAAGCTTAATATTTCAAGAAGTGGAGTGTATAATTGGAGTAAAACGAAAACCATGTGCTCAAGGAGTATGATCACAGTAGGCAATACTCAATTATACAAATCCTATTTTTGTAAGTAAAACACAGACAAATATACATATATATGCATATATATATATATACATATATATATTAATGAGAACAAAGAAAATGGTCCAAAGTACAAATACAAAGTGATCATTTCTAATCAACCTGATACCATGCAATTGCAATGCTTATTTTTCATTCAGTGTTGTACTCTATTACACACTACAGTAGATATGCCTACGTATATAGGCATATATGAATGTGGGAGTTCATATATGCCTATCTTACAGAGTTTGTGTATACTACCTAAAGTAGGATACCCTGGGGCAAATGAACCAGTAAGCAGACAGAGAGTCAGTCAATCACAGTATCTTCAGAAGTAAACGTGAGGGGGCCGGGGAGATGGCTCAGTGGTCTAAAACACCTACTTAGAACAAGCTTAGCAAAGCACAGAAACCGCGGTTCATTCCCCCAGCACCACATGCCAGCCAGTCCCACCCCCTGGTGTGCTGAATCCATGAAGTCCTGAGCTCCAGTCCCAGCAAAAGGAAATAAAAAAGGGAAGAAAGAAAGAGAGGAATGTAGGGAATTAGATATGGAGGGAGAGAGGGAAGAAAATTGAAGTAGGAAGGAAGTAAGAAAAGCAGAAAGAAAAGTAGGAGAGAAAAAGAAAATAAAGAAAAAGGGAAAAGGAAGAAAAGGGAGGAGAAGACAAGGGAAGGGAAGGACATCTGACCCTCTTCATCAGAGGCTGTTGGTGCTGCTGAACTTTGTGAGATTCTAGTCAACAGGTAACTGAGGAGCTACAGGTTAATTACTCGTTTGTCCTAAGTGTTATCAACTGTGCTTCTAATTTATCACTAGCACAAGCCACTTACAAGGGAAAGGACTATGCTTCAGGGCAATGAACTGCAGCAGAAGAAAATAACTAGTGTGAAGCCTTTCCAGTTAAATTTAAGGAAAGGATTTAAAAAGTAAGGGAGAAAGTGAAATGTAAACACAATCTGAATGGGGAAATACTGAGGTCCATAGAAGCCAATTTTCCAGAGAACTAAATGTGGACATGGAGAAACATTTTCACTGGATAAGAAGAGCACATGGAGCTTGGGGTAGACATGAAAAGCAGGAATGAATCTGTGGCCCGTTCTTCAGGCTTTCACTTCAAAATATAATAAAGGTAGTGGATGCAGACATTCACTGTGGTATATCCAGACAATTGAATGTGACTCAGTGCTAAAAGTAAAGGAGCTATCAACTCATGAAGAGACATGGAGGGAATTTTATACCCTATTAGTAAAGGCAGTACTCAACTTGAAAAGGCTACATATGGATGAATGCAACTGCATAATGTTACAAAAAAGTCAAAGCCAGGGAGAAATGGACATCAGAAGTGCTTTGTTATAGGCCAGAGATGCAGGATATGCAAGCAGGATGTACACCCTGAGGCACAGAAGTCGTCCTGCATGACCCTCTAACGGCAGTGCACTTGTGCCAGCTCCTAGAGGGAAGGGCACAAATCTGGGCTCTGGTGTAGACCGCCAAGTTTGGCGCAGATTGAGGCATTAGTTGTCATGAACATAACAGGATGTGGGAGATCTTGGGAGTGGAGAAAGCTGCACACGGGAACCAAGAACAGAAGGAGATCGTTGTGTGCTCCTCAATTTTCCTATGAACTTAAAATTGCCCTAAAAATATAAATTCTTGACATATTAGTAAAGTCCAGATCTATGACCTTCGTTGCCACCCACCAGGATACTGGGAAAATGTGTCTGGCAGATTGTTTCTCTTGATCCAGTCCCCAACTTATTATAAAATGTATATATTTTGTCTCTCAAATTTGGCTAATTATTAAACTCTTAGGCAAGTCTCTCAGTTCTTTAACATCTCCACTGGAAAGATACCTTTTTTTCTATTTTAGAATCTTAACGTTTTTGGGGGGAGAGGTACACTGGGAACTGAACTCAGGATCTTGCACCTGCCAGGTCAGCGCTTGTGCCACTGAGTTATGGCCTCATCCATGTCTTAATTTTTTAACTGGTAAACTGTGATACAATTAAATGTATGACACAGCTTTTAGTTAACAAAAATTTGTCAAAATGGAACTGTTTGTTTTTTCAACCAAAAAGAATTTTTCTACAGTAATATGTTGTTTCCAAAGTGAAGCTACATGATATATATCTGTATGTTCTCGCTCAATATGCATCTTATGGAACAGGCAAGTAGACCAGTATGTTCTCCTTAGATTTTCTAATTATTTACAGTCTGTGCTCCATCATGTAACCAGACATTCAATTACAATGAGCTTAGCTTTATCCAAATAAAGTTTTACATTCAAAAACAGTGAAATGCACATATCTATGCTTCTTTAAAATGAGGTAATAACATGTTGTATCTCTCTTCCTCATTTTGTCCTGATCCGTTGTATTAAATGGTTAAACTGCACTGATTAATTCATCTCAGCAGTGTACAGCGAAAGCTGGCAAGAGAGAATTAGCTTATCCAGGAGGAGTCAGGTCACCGTTTACCCAGGTATACATTAGATGCTGTGTTCTCCAAATCTGGAAGCTGTGGTCGTGTCAGGGGTCAGTGCCAAAATGTCTTTTATCATAAATTGGAACTTGTAATTATGGTAGCTGGCTGGGCTCTAATTGGCTAGTTACAATTACTTGGAGCATTTTAAAGCTCAGGACTGTCTGCACTTCTCTGCCTTTTTTGGTTGATGAAAACTACTGGTACTGTACAATGTATTATACGGTGATAATTCATTTATCTACATATAGTATATATGTAATTGATAACTATAAACTACTTGTGTGATATAACTATATTTATATATGCAACTGCTAACAGCAGAATGAACGTGAAATGTAGAGATACAAAGTTGTATTAAGACAGTCTTTGGCAAAGAAAATGAAGGAAAAGTGTAAAGCAAGCTTTTTCTAACTGCCTTGTGACATTTTGAGTAATAAATACAATGTAAAGAGTCTGACAAAATGTAAAGTATATGCTAGGATAGGATAGAAAAATAGGTTAGAAAACATTTGGGCAGTCTGAAACCCACTAATGAGGTATTTGTACACATGGCTTCTTTTTTTCTTATTCTTACTAGATTTCAAGAAATTTGTACTGCACAGAATATTGGTGCATAAAAGACAGGGTTAACATACATTCCTCAAGCTCTGGGGAAATGCTGGCCCTTATCTATGGGATAGAAATATTCCATTGTACAGAATAAAGCTATTGTGAAAGTTAAGTGAGACCCGAGGTATTCCAGCCATCTATGAGACATATAATAAATGGGACATTTTCTTAGTAGCAACATTGAGAATGATGAGATAATAATAATAATAATAATAATAATAATAATACATTATTATGTTTTAACAGAATTAAATTATATGTATAAGTATCTTTGAGATGACTGACTACAATAATAGGCAATCAACACAGGTTGCAAATCCAAGGAAGGAAGTCTCCAAGAGATAGATAATGTGTGCTAAGCAGAGACGGGCTTGCAAAACTAGATCTGGAGAGGATTTCTTTCCTCCAGTCAGTAACCTGGTTGTTTAGGAATCTACTAGCCATTACTACGTTATTGATTCCACCCGCATGGCTGTTTTCTTCCCACCACTTTGGCAAGATGTACCTTGACTTTGCTTCTGTCCATCTCAGAGCACAAGACCTGTTTTTGCAGGATTCTCTCTAATACAGAAGTAAATATTTGTTGTGAACAAGCTTCAAGTAGATTTCCATCAGCTAGAAGATTAACAATTGCAGCAGTTGTGAACAATATGACTTTTTTAACATTTGTCTTGGAGCAGGAAAATTAATAGTGTTTTTTACAAATAAAGTGAGGACCAATTAAGCTTAAATGAACAGACATATGTTTATTCCACTTTCTGAAAAGTTCATCATGTTCATCCAGATTTTTGTTTATTCTTTCCGGTCTTACTGGTGGAAAATTCCTCTGTAGTGCAAACGGTGACCTATTGGTGGTTCCGATGAATGTTTGCCTTCACTTCTTGGGATTTTAAAACAAAGGAATTATTACTTGTTATCAGTATTAAAATCAAGTGGACTCACATTTTTTTTTCTTCAGCTCTATGTGAAAGGCCATATTTGTAACTTCCCAGACAATTTTTATTGTGTCTAATGCAGGGAAAAGTGGAATAGAATAGGTTTTTATCCATTGAATTTGTGTATCTGCTGGAAAAAATAAGTATGGATGTAACTCCCTGCAGTGGCTGAGGGTGCAGCCACTCTGTCCTTGAATCCCCAAGAATACTATTTCTACCAGTTATGAGACACATGTGCCTGTTCTGTATTTGAACTCCAGAGAACTTGCTTTTTCTATTTCTAAAAAGAGTACACAGATGTTGACACAGTCTATGTGTTATCTATTTTCTCTATTCATTTTATTTTTGAAAGCACTGTGGACACCTTTTAAAGACATAAAATTCTTTTTTTCTAGGATTAAAAATGAATAAAGGTGCCATCACCCCTCCCCGAACTTCTCCTGCAAACTCGTGTTCCCCAGAAGTGATCCATCTGAAAGACATTGTGTGCTACCTGTCTCTGCTAGAGAGAGGAAGACCTGAGGATAAGCTCGAATGTAGGTATTTCTTACTTAGCTTTGTTCGTCCTGGGTGAAGTAGAGAGAAAGGCTGGACATTAAAGAACTCAACATGTACAAATTGCATTTGTCTAAATTCTTAAGGTCAGTGATTTTCTTAACAAAGATCAATTTTCCCTGAGAGACAATGATCTATCAGTTAAGAGTCATCACTTCTTGATCAATTTTTCTTTATTACCCCATGGGTTCCTAAACTTTTCATATTGGGCTATCTCACCAACATTTTACCCCTTAGTCTGTCCCTGTCTCTCTGATTTTCTCTATCTCTCAATCCCCAGTGTTTCCCACCACTGCTTTGATTTTATTGAAACAGGATCTTGCTAAGTTGTTAATTTGTTTCAATGACTTACATTTGCAATCCCCAGAGTGGAGGCATTATGTGCATAGTACAGTCATGCCTGGCACAATCATGACATTCAAAAATTTTGTTTCTCAGCTGCTTGTGTTGTTTTTGAGTTAAGAAGAGACTATAGGGGGCCGCAGTGAGATATCTCAAAGACTAAGAGTCTACTTAGGCAAGCACAGGGACCTGGGTTCGATCCCTGGCACCACATGTCGCATGTGACCCATCCCCGGCCACACTGAGCCAGCAGCCAAGACCCAGAGTGGTGGTGCGTGTCTGTAATTCCAGCAATGGGGAGGCTGGAAACAGAGAAATCACTGAGTTGCTTAGTGAGACACTGTGTGTGTTTGTGTGTGTGTGTGTGTGTGTGTGTGAGAGAGAGAGAGAGACAGACAGACAGACAGACAGACAGACAGACAGAGACAGAGACAGACAGAGAGACAGAGACTGAGAGAAAGAGACAGATGAAGAGAGAAAGAGAGACAGAAACAGGGAGAGAGACAGAGACTATAGGCACAGGCCCTTTTAGTTATACAGAAGAATTTATTTCTAGTGTGTGAAGAGCGCTTCCTATTACTGAGCAGAAGAATTCTTAGCCATGCTCAACTTGTATTTGTCTCCCATAGACAAATCTTCTTTGCAAACAGCACTAACATTCTCTTTCACAGAGACAAATTGTTTCTGAAAACGCAAATCTGAGAGTTGCCTTTATAGGACTTGAATCTCGGTAATACAAGTAATTAAACAATACATTTGATTCTTCCAGTATGTGCAGGTAGAGAGAATTATGATGTTGGAAATGCAGCAACTTTAGCCTCTTTAATAAAAAAAAAAAAACCCAATGAGTGAGCTCACTCTGGTGGCAAATATATTTATTGCAAGGCAAGAAATTATTTTTCATTGATTGTGATTATTGGACTCAATTTTATCTTCAAAATCCTTTATAGCATAGCACTAACAATTTATTCAATAATATGATAAATTTAATCTTTGACACCGTTAAAATGAATTTTAAAACTTTGGTACTCAAATATCAGTAAAGCTAATGAATCCAGAATGCAATATATTAAAGCTATTATCAACTGTTTTGAAGTTTTGATATTATATTTCAGAGGTGTTTTAGTTGAACTTTATAGTAATTTTGATGACAGTTTTCCTATCAATAAGGATTTTTACCCTAAGATTATTTATAAGTCACACTTGTTTAGGTTATGAATAAACTGTATAAGCATCATCTTTAAGTATATATTTATTATCTATAACTATCAAATATTTGCATTTCAAGATTTATTTTGTATTCCTAAGAACCTACAGAAATGTCTACCATTCCAAAATAAATATTTATGTTCAGAAAATTTCTATTGATGTGACAGCCAGGGACAAAGTTTGTTCAGGTGCTAAGATGTCCCTATTTGGGACTATAATAAAAACATAAAGACAGATATTGTTTCACATCCAAGAATTAATGAAAACACTATCCATCCTCCCCTAGACAATCTTAAGTATTGCTGTTTAATTATCTTCGGAGTTCATGAAAGTATGTTGCTTTTCACGTAGCATTCCCAGGCCAGTGGGATAGCTCAGTGGACTGAGCATCTGCTTAGGCAAGTGCAGAGGCAAGGGTTCGACCCCAGGATCACATGTCACTCGTGCCCTGCTCCTGGGCATGCAGAGCCAACGACTGAGACCTGGCGTGGTGGCACAGGCCTGTAATCACAGTGCTGAGGAGGCTGAAAACAGGAAGATCACTATGAGTCCAAGCTGTGTAGTGAGACCCTGTGTTAAATACTTAGAAAAGAAAAAGATGGGATTCCTAAGAACATGCACTTTGCTTTTCACTTGGAGGCCTGAACCCAAATTGTGTTAGGCCACCACTGCAGGCAGTGTATTAGTTCTTATACCATTCAGAAAGACTTGATGAATCCAGTCAAATTGACCCACCACATACTTTCCTTTGATGTTTTTGTCATTCTTCCTTCTGTTCTTTCAGTTCCCCATTGTTTTTCTTAAGCTGATGCCAAATAGTTTCCTTTGCCTTGTTTTCAATCCTGTCTTTGAACTCTCTTCATAGGCTGACTTCATAACCTGGTATTAGCAGGATGAATTTCATCATACTCTTCAAGTTAGTTGATCCTGTGGCTTTAGTCTTGATGTCCTGATTTGGCAGTCCCTGCCGTGCTGTACATCAAATTCACCAGAAGTTTTGTGTTTTACTCTTTCTTCTTTACTGTCCATACCTGAAAATTCCTCTTCCCAGTTTGTCACATCTGAGCAATTTGCTATAATTCTCAAAACTTTTCTCACCAAGACTTTAGAAAGTATTTAACAGTGTTTCCTTTAGTAGGTACTTAGTTCCAAAGCATTATAACATATTAAGCCCAATATAAATTAGAAGAATAAGAAAAAGTGATCATGATGAACACAGAAGAACATGCAACCAGGCACCAACACTAGTTTATTTTGTAGTTGAAGAGTCAATTTGGATTTTAATTTCAAGTAGCTAGCCTTTCAGTGGTATTTCTGACAAATTTTCAGAGGAGCTGATGCTGTTGGTCTAGGGGGTCACCAGAGAAGTACTGGTTTATATAGCTTCTTTTTCTGTCTGAAAAAATCATATACCACACACACACACACACACACACACACACACACACACACTTCCTCTGCTGTGATCATTGCTTTTAATAGAATTACTAAATAGGACAGGATAAGGCATGATTATCCTATATGGGATATTAGGCAAAATAAATATTTTGCCAATGTTTACAAAAACAACACATCCCTCCCAATTAATGGTTTTACAAAAATCCTGTTGGATTCTATGCAACATTTTCTATCTCCCCTTTTATCCATTCTGTCAGGAATTAGAAAAGTTCAGTGTGAAACTTGTCCCCCTGAGTAGGAAGTGACCACAAGTTTGTGAACTTTGTGTGCATGACAAGTCACAGCTTCCCCTTGCTTTCCTTAACCCAATCCTAATTTCATTCTGGGGATGTTGCCAACTTACTCTGAGGCTTTCAGGTCTAAAATGTTTATTAACCCAGTTGATTCCTTTATACTCTTAGAAGGCTTGTGAGCCTATGTGTGTTCATGCATTTGCATGAGTGTGGGTTTTTTTGGTTTTGTTTTGTTTGTTTGTGTGTGTGTGTGTGTGTGTGTGTGTGTGTGTGTGTGTGTGTGTGTGTTCCACTTTTGTCCCTCCTTGCTGGTATCCATTATCAACCATTCTGGATGGATTACAGCATGGTCCAAGGGTAGCTTGCCCACCTAACACAGGGTCTCAGGACCACATTATGGAGACCCCATTAACCATTCTTTAGTCCTTGTTTTGCTCACATTCTAGGATGTCATCTCCATTTCATTTCAGCTACTTACTTTCTTGAAATGCTCCAAGCCTTAGGATTTTGAAAAGACATTTTTACCTCAAAATTGTAAAATCTAGAATTTTACTTGGACCACAGCCTACATTCACTCAACTTACCATTGTCCTACTTTTAATATAAATATAGCACAGCACAGTTCTTAAGAATCCAGCCTCTTAATTTATACTGCCTTCATTTAACCCCCTGCATAGCACTATCTGGTTCACTTGGGTAATTTCTTAAAGCCTTTTAAGGACTTTGTTTCCTCAGGTATAAACTTGGGATCACATTTGCTAACACAAATGTCCTCCCACGTGGACATGGATTGAATGAAATAAATAAAATCAGCTTGACATTTTGTTCTTTCCTTTTCATTTTTTTTGTATTTTAGGGAAGGGTCTACAGAATGTTCATGGTCTCACTACTAGATCGGACTCCTAGTGATCCACTTGTTTACAGCCTCCCAAGAGCTAGGTTACAGGCTCCCGGAGGCAGGTCCAGCAAGACAGGCCCGGGTATCTAAACCCCGGTTCCTGCACCTGATTGCAGGTGCTTTAATCTGCTGAGCTATTTGGCTGGTCGCAGCTTGAAATTTTTGACCCTTGACCAGTTCACTTCTTCCTGAACTCGCTGACTGTCTCTTGGCACCTTCCTCCTCTAAATATTTACTGAAGCCCAAATCCTTGATTTCAATTATGCTCTCTTATTTAGCACCAATATGCTCTCTTTGTTTGTGCATATGTTGAAGTTGTTGAAATGAAGTGAAGAGAAAAACTTTATGAATTTTTTCTCTGCAAGAATTATCTTCCAGGATTCAATGTTTTCTTCACTATTTTTTAGCAAGAGGGAATCTAGATGCTTTGCCTTTTGAAATTCTCCCTACTTAAAGATCAGGCCGTATATTAGGTATGAATTCTAGAACTTCTCTTGTCATCTGAAATTAACATCAATGATCTGTCCACTACTATCCCTATTCTTTTCTCTTGTTCTTCTGACATGGTGTGAAAACTGAGACTCTGATAGTTTCAGTTGAGTACAGCATAAAATTTAAAACATTACTTTGGTATCTCTAGACTACTCTGCCTTTACTGCTTAGCCCCCATATTTCTTGCCACTCTTTCTTCTGGCTTTGAGCTACAGGCAGATGCTGGTAGGTGGGTCCACTTTTCCTATCCGGCATTGCTTGTGTAGCATGCAGTGAGTGTGGCGTTCTGCCCAATGTGTTTCTCACAGTGCAGCGCACACTTAAGGCCCACCTCACACTAAAAGTATCCTAGTAGGACTCCGTTTGTTTCACTTCACACTTTGTTTCAGTGTATCTGAAACATATTCGGAAAGTGGAGAACTGACACGCAGATACTGAAAAGTAGCTCGTGTGGTGGAAATATTGTTATGTGCACTCTTAAGCTTCAAGCCCCTGACATTTAATATCAAAAAGGTGCTCAAGATAACTTTATTAACTTCCCTGTAGTGTGTCAATGAAAAAACTAAAGCCCAGAGAGCATAGTTATTAATTTTACCATCAGTTTTTCCACTGTGAATAAAATATATGATTTCTGATCTTGCATACAGTTAAGTTCCACTTTTATTTTGAAAAGTTATCTTCAGTGTTTTTACTGTGATATTGGAAATGTATATAAAAGTGAAATATGTAAATGAAAAGTATTCCAACTAAAACACCTTTAAAATATATACACTTTCTAAGAATTAATAACAAATGTTTTACTGACATTTTCATATGAACAAGTTATCAGAGAAAGCAAAAGTTTATAAGATATTATGAAATTATGCACTGAGAAGAAACAGGAACTGGCAAATATCTTGGAAGAGAAAAAATATAGATATAAAAAACTCTGTATCTTACATAATATGCCCTGGATCTGATCTTTTAATTAAATCTACGTGTGGGCACCTAATTGCTACCATATAAAGCAAAATTATATGCATATAAAAATAGAAAAAAACAAGTGGGTTAAATTACCTCTTAACTTTGTAGCAGCTACTCACATTTGGAAGGCATAGTATTGACAGAGTATTTTGAATATGGGCCTTATTTTTCCACCTAAACACTGATAATGCTTACACTAATTTTAAAAATATCAATTTCTTCAAAGATTCACTTCATCTGGAGGCCTGTCTTTATTTTTAAATACTAACAAGGAGTAGTCTTATTATAAATTGAAGAACAATTGTTAATTTTGTCAATGTTTTATATTAATATTGTTTTTAAATGGGCAGGTTTTATAGTGATTAGAGCCAAACAATATTTATTTTCAATTTCATTTTATTTTCCATGGAGTTCATAACTGCCTTGTTGTCATTATTTGATGTTATTTTTATAACTCATCAATTATCAATTTGTTCAGTACAAATTCTGATGGAGCAAGTTGGGTCTTTATATGTTATTTAATGTCTTTTTTCATAACTGCCATCTCCTTTTATTTTACCTTTTCTGTCTTTCTAGAATCAATTGTATTTGCTTGTTGAATTCCCAAAGCCTGATTCTGCGTGACCATTTTTCTTTCCTTCTCTGTTTTCTACATGATTTGCCTTCCTGTCGCTCACTATATAACTGAACATGTATATGCATTTTACATCCTGTGGTGAGCTCTTCCACTTTTTCACTAATATTTTTAACCTCGCAGAGAGCTCATTTCATTCTCACCAAGATTCTTGTATTTTCTCTATGTCTTGGGCTGAACCTTTCATTTCATTCATAGAGTCCCACTTGTCTCACTGTTTTTGGCCCCAGGTTCACACAAGGGTAAACACTATCAAATAATTTTACAGACATTTATTCCAGGCAAGACTAACAGCCGTAATGCCCTGGTCCCAACAGTTGGGCTTGTTAGAGCCTGTGGCTTCTTTCTGGTGTTGCTGGTGTTAATCTCTTCTGGCAATTCTTATTACTTAAAAAGATATTTTATTATTTGCTGCTAGCCTAGAAAATCTTGAAATGCTAAGTGTGATAAATTTCACTCTTGCATTTTACTTTCATTTACTGAGGTATGAAAGAGATTGCTATCTGTGGCTTGAAGGTAAAATTTAAGTCCTTAAGCTGGTCCAACATTATTTTCCTTAATTCAGTCTACGCATTTCTTTTACACTTTAAAATCATTAACGCTGTTTGCCTTTTGCAAAAAACATTAGAATATCATTGTTAAGTTGGCAACATAGAGACTAATTTTGTACCTTATAATGATATCTTAGAGTAGTGAAATATATAACCATTAAATATTAGAATAATAATTACAGATAATGACTTAGGTCACTGCATAATAAGGCCTCTTAGTAACTACTGTCTTTTTATTAATACTGCACACCTTGGACATCAAGTTCCCTCAGGAAATGACACACATCCAACACAAACTATTATTTCCACTCTTCTGTTTTCACAGCTGGATCATTCTCCACTGTTTATCCCACACACCACCGGCAGCCTCTTCCACAGCATTACACTGGTCTGTGGCTTACAGGAGAGAGCTGGGCTGGTCAGAGCATCTGTCCTGCTTTCTTGAGCTCACTAGCAGAGTCAGCACTTTCCACTTACTTAGTCGGAAGATGAGTTACCTTAATGAAGCGCCACCAACAGTCCTGTAGCCACTCCGACCCTGTACCCCTGTGCTGGCCTCTTCCTTCAGAAAAAGGCCCCATAGCTTTTGCTCCTCTGGCCATGTGGCATGCACTTGTGCCTGAGAACTCCCTTAACTATCTTCACATGGATGTGCATCATGGCAACAAGATGGTTCTCATGTTATAGGCAAGAGAACAATGTTTCATAAAGTTCGTGGAACCATGGATTCTAAATTGTTATGTATTTCTCAAATTGGTCTTTCTTACCCAGATTCTGAATGTTTCAACTTCTCTTGTTATATTTGAGTTAGTATCTAATAATACAGAGTTTGAGCTAACAACATTGCATTTCAGTGTTTCTTATATACATACAAAATATGACAGACGCTAGATCTGATATCCAGTATTTGATTGAGCGATTGATTCATTTTTAATGTAGCCTGATAAATAATCTCATGAAATACCTGCTTGAGCAGGGAAGCATTTCAGTGTATGTTTTCAGCAGAAACTAAACTTAAAAGAATGTGTTTTGAACTCACCTGGAACCTGTTCACTTACATCTTTTTCAACACCTCTTTTATTCTAGTTATGTTTCGCCTTTATGACACAGATGGGAACGGCTTCCTGGACAGCTCGGTAATTTTTTCCTTGAAATTTTCTGTGGAAAAATTTGAAGTAATTTTTTCTGTACAAAAGACAGTGAATAAATATAGAACTATCAACACAAAAGGAAGATTTAATATGGTTTACAACCACTCATACCATATTTTTATCATTTGCCATTGAGAGGAAAAGTGGTCTGAGGAGACAGGATTATGCTTTTTCTATTGCAGTTTTGTTACCAAAACATGGCTTTTTTTTTTTTTTTTTCTGTGCTGGATGTGGATAAAAACGAAGATTCCAACATTGTCTGAATAAAACATCAGGTAAAGTTGAGACCATTGATCTAGAAAGAAAGAAAAATGATCCATGAGATCTGACACCTAGAAAAATAGTGAGAGTACAAGTAGAACCTAAAAGAATTACCAGGTCAATTTGAAGTTTGTATTTTCTCATTTATAAAACAGTGTTCTTGCCATACATGGTTTTGAAATAAATGTATTTACAGACTGTCTTGATGAACTTCCTTGTTAAAAATATCTCATCCAATTTATAGACACCTTACACACTAAAGCTTGAATCATATAAAGTGGGAGAAAAATAGTCTCTGTTACTAACTAGAAAGAACAATTATATGTGCACTGTATTTGTAAGACTTAAAAATCATCAATGGATATTTTAAGAAGTACAGATTAGCCTAAGGCCTACTGCACAAACTTAATGAAAGTCTATCTCAAATTTCATCCATAAATAAAATGTATGTTTGCTGATAACATTTTTAAAAAAGAATTTGAAAAAGAATAAAAATGAAACAGAATTTCAAAACAAGTTGATGAGGAATTAACAATGGTTACTATATTGCATATTGTTAGCTTCAAAATAGTTGCTCAGATTCCCAGAAATAAGCAAGCAATACTAATCACACAATAAAAGCAGTAACTGTTCCTTTTAATACATTGATCGAAGTTGTGTATGTTATTTCTACTTCCTCATGAAAAAGGGACAGTAATAAAACAATAATGGTGTAAATGACGAACAGAAAAATAAATGTGAAGACAGGTTTATGCGTCGCTCAGCAGGATAAGTGGCATAACAGCATCTCCAGAAATAAAGTAAAACATATTATTCCCACCCAAGGAAAGTGCTGGATGCTGTGATTATAGGATTTCTTATGTTTCAGGCTCAGTAATTTTTCTTATGCTATTTCTTTTAAGTGCCTACTAATTCTCCCTTTTCCTTTTAGGAATATTAGGGTACATAATAAATTTCTTAATTTTATGATGTGGCAGCATAACTAGGAATTTAGGTATATTTTTCCATGATATTTACTGAGCTCATGATTATACTTAGGACTACAGTAACAAAAATTATATCATAATTAATATTGGTTTCATTTGGTGTTTCCTTTTAATTAATTTTAAATGATGTTTCTTTATGACTTTTTGTTATGGGCTGGTGATCTATAAATTCAGACAAAAATTTCTTTAGTTGCTCTAGCCATTTTCTGAAAATATATATGATAGTTAACTAGAATTATTTATAACTGTGTTCCTAGTATTTAACAATAAATTGGGAATAAATTTGGCATTTACCATTAGTGTTTTCTCTTCTCTCTTTTGCCTTTCTTTTTTTGTATTGAAATATTTGGATTTAATCATTAGGATTTGTTCCAGCCTACTATATTAATAATTTCCCTCAGTATTTTTTGCTTTCTGAATTCATTTGTGTTAATATTTTTTTAATGTATTTTAGTACAGGGTTCAGGGTCATTTTACACAGATCGGATTTGTAGTGATCATCCTGTTTTCAGCCTCCCAAGCACTGGGATTACAGGCATGCGACACCATGCCCAGTCTTGTGTTAATATTTTAAATGAGTAGCAGTTTATTTTTTGGAAACAAAATAAAGAAAACTGACAATTTAAAAACTCTGACCATCTCCCACTATAAGAATTACTGCTTAATCTGCATTTCTAGTGTCAAACATCTAGATTAATGTACTTTCCATAAGAGCATTTTTATCCCGTGAGGCTACTTTTTGAACTAGAGAAGATGAGAAAATCCAATTCACTGATGACAAAATTCAATGTGGGGTTAGATGACTAATGTGATGTCACATCAAATCTGTTAAAAAAAATTCTGCTCTTAACAAACAATCCCAGCACTTTTTAATTCATCAATACTATTACACTGGATATAAGCAAAGATATAGTAGTGAGAGATTAGTAACACACATACTTAAAAAATATATTTTCTAAAAACTACTTATATATTTTATTATTTCTGGGGCAAGTTGTCTTGCATAAATAATATATATATTTTTGGAAAGAAGCACAGCATTCACTACTTTCATGGAGAGACCCTGTGACTCCTAAACAAATAACTTTTTAAAACCACATTTTTTTACATCCCATTAACACTGACCATACAAATTACATCAGAGATTTGAGTGGAAAAATGTATGAATAGCATACGTTCAAGCTTTATACTTTTATACTTTGAACATTTTAAATTACACTATAAAACACCACTTTTAAGCTATATCATGTCTACTTGTGAAACTAAAAATGTCACATAAAACCATTTTTTGTATATGGAGACAAAAATATTAAATACATATGTATCAAAGATAGTTTAATTTATTAAGCCAAGTCAGTGTATCACCTATGAGTTCTTCAAAAGGGTTTACATTTGAACAGAAAAATATGAAAATCCAAACTAAAATTCCATCCAGTCACAAAATAAAGGCCACATAAACTTAGCCTCCAAAACTCGACCCTGAAACTTTTTCAGAGAGCAGATTATCCCAATAAAGGACCAGAAGAGTCAATAGAGGTTCTTAAAGTATGAGAATAAAAATAAACCTTTCAGTCACTCTCAACTCCTTCCTTCCACCCTTCGACATCTGTTCTCAAGCCAAAGGGTCACGCTATTCAATGACTTGAAAAAATCCTTTCCTGTGAAAATATACATTGGTTCCGGCTCTCATGAGGCACGATTTTCTGGAAGACATCATTTCTTGGTATCATTGTGCCCTCTCTTGGTGAAGATGTCAGATAAAGCACAAGATAAAATTATATCTGAACTCTTCTTCCTGTATAATTAATAAGATCCTTAAAAAAACATTGTGTGTGCTCACTTTGGCAGCACTTATACTAAGCTGTGCTTTGTTTTTGCTTTCCAAATTGTAATTTTTGTGAACATAGATGATCATAAAACTGTAATTTTTGAGCTGCTGTTTGAACAAAATGTTGCCTCTAAGTGAAAGATTAATGCGATGTTCTTCATCCTCCTCCATCCCTGTTCTCCAGGAGCTGGAAAATATCATCAGTCAGATGATGCATGTCGCAGAGTATCTTGAGTGGGACGTCACCGAACTTAATCCAGTAGGTAGATGACTGATTTAGCTGTTGTCTATATTCGAGACGGTTCCTTCCCTTGTTCTCTTTTCAAGGACCTTACTGCAATATGACTTTTGTCTCTGAATAACTGTGTTACCATTCTAATCAGGAATCAAAGTGGATTTGGAATGTGATCACCAGGTAGATGTGATGACGTAATGCTTTTAGCAGTATCTTTTTTGCTTTCTTCTCTATAGAAATTATTTTGAATGTCCCACTTAACGTGCACGGAGGTAAGGATGAATTGCCCAGGTTCATGGATCCTATGAAAAAAATCGCGATGAATCATTCCTGTCCAGTTTGTCTTGCTACTGCACGTTTCGTGGGTACTTGCAACTCTCAGACATGTCATTTTGTTCATCTTACGAATGGGTGAATGAAGACCCAAGTGCAATGTATCCCTGAAATTCTCTGGGGTTATGTTTCCATAGCAGGGTAAATTTCAGATATGGTCAGAAGAATGCCTATAAATGCCTACATTTGTAGTTTAGACTCTAAGTATGCTACATCTGCTGCAGTTATATAAGTTATTTTTTTTTAAATACTGTACTAATAAAGACTTCGAAGGCACAACTCATGTTGGTGGCATTCTAGGCATTTTATGGCTTGAGGAAATACAAAACTGAGAGCACTCGAGACAGCAATGCAGTGCAACCCTCGGTGATGAGGGAATGCTGGAGCACCTGCGGAGGAGGGTTCTGAGGCAGCAGCCAATCAGCAGCAAGAAGATCTGAATAGTGCTCTCGGATTGGCTACTTGTAAACCTCCTGCCCCCCCCAAAACAAATAAATAAATAAATAAAATAAACAATTGTAGAAGATATCTGTCATTTCCTCGAAATTGGACAGGTTTTCTCCAACAATTATTCCTTTGGTTTTAAGGAATAATCGGAACAACTGAAGCCGTGATCTCTACCCAAGACTCGCAGGGCTACACCATAGGTAGAAAATATTTGCCGAGAGCTCTTCATCTGGTTAAAGCTAGAGCAGGGAATTTTTAATTAAGTTCCTTCCCCCCACACACACACTCGGAATGCATTAAGGGCAGGCCTGATAAGGCTTGAGGATCTGGGGATCGAACCACAGAATTCTGAGCCTGACTGCTTTGCTTAAGCAGGCACTTAAACAACAGAGCAAATGGGAAGGCCCCCTTTAATCAAGTTCTATAAAGAAGTAGTATCCAAAAATGTGTATAAGAATATAAAGAGTTATCTTACATAAATTTAGATACGTTTCCACTATTATTTAAATGTATTTGTAAAATAGTTGTGAAGAACTTCTGACCTCAGCTGTAGGTAAGGTAAGAAATTTATAGCAGATACTGATTTCAGCTTCATTTTGAAGCCAGCTAAGTTTAGCCAAGTACACATGAATAGAGACCATATAGATCATTTTTTCTTTATATGGTTTGCATTTTATTCAAGAATTCAAGATGCTATTTGTAAATCAGTGTTCACGTTTCTGCACCTGACGGTACATAGTGTCAGGGCTACGTGACGCAGGCTTGTGCTCACGTTTCCCTGTGTGTCTAAATGAGAAAAAGTAAAGTAGACATCACTATGCAAAGAGGACGCCATTCCTACAAGGGTTAAGAGTTTTCCAACTTTAACTCTACCATATTTGGGCTGGTGTGGAAAGTTCCTGCTGCGTGAGGGCAGCTATCATTAACAGGACTTAATGTGCCTATGGAGTAATAAAGCCCATGGTGCTGTGTGCTTAATGTTCTGCTTGATTCAACTTAACATTTTTTTCACTGAAATCAAGGTTTCATTGCCCTTAAGTTTAATGTTAATTTAAAGTTTAAAGTTTAAATTAAAGTTAAACTGTAAGTTCTTAAAGTTCCATTGCCCTTTTGATTGCATAAATGTAGATCAGACCTCTCTCCCTATTCATTTGTACCAGAGAAAATTGTTCACCTATCATTCAAGCCTGCTTGACCCCGTGGGAAGGAAGAAAGAGGGAGGCTTTCTTTTCCTATTAGACTTTGAAGCATCAGTGGGCCCAGCGACCTCCTGGCAAAAATTATTTTGTTCAAAAGAGACGTAAGGTTGGGAAAAAAGGAGATAGAGATTATGGAAAAGGAAACAGTTGGTGGCTGGACAGCCCAGAAATGACAAGTACCTTCTGGAGAATACAAACAATGCGTGTAGCATTATTTGTGTTCCTAATGCATCCACCTCCATCTAGACAGCTTACATGGTGGAAAATCAAGATAAAAGCCTTACCCGGAGCACTGTATTTGTAGTCACAGTTGCTGTCTCTCTTAGTTGAATGCTTCAACATCTCTCTTCTTTTGAGACAAATATACTCATTTACAGATTCTTATGGCCTCTGCATGCATGAATAAAGACATGTGAATATTTCCTACTAATCTCAAACACTGGGGAAAGACAAAATGTCCCTGGAAGGAGTTTTTATTAAACTAATCCAAGTTGTACTGTTAGATTCACTAAGGATAAAGTGAAAACATAAGCCGCCCGCAACACATGTTCTGTGTTTTCGGTTTTCATCGTGGTTGTTCGTTCATCACAACTCATCAGCATGCTCTCAAAAGGCAGGGTGATTTTAAATAAATCTTATGTCATTCTATAAAATCTAAATCCTTTCTTTTATTTGATAATGAAATAATTACTCCGGCATCATCTTATCTCTAAAAGTCCCCTTTCCAATACTTGGAGGTCAGAAATTGTTATGCAAGACAATAATCTATTTTTCAAATACCTCATGAGGAAAGGCAGCAAATAACCAATCACAGATATATTTAAAGGAAACAATGTTTCTACCAGGAAACAATATGTCTCTTCTATTGTAAGTTTTCATATCTCTTTACTAATCCTGTTTCCTTCTTTTTCAACTGTTAACATCCACTTCTGTGTTAACCAAAAACAATGAATTCCTTTCTTTCTTGGAGTCCTTACCAAATTTCACAACTTATCAATAGGAAAGTGTTTCCCTTTTTTAGCATCCAAGGGTGATACGGTTGGAAAGCTAACACAATCTGCATTAGTAATAGCGTAAACCGCTTTCTGTATATGCTTCCTACATATGCCAGGGTGTCTTCCATCTATAAAATCCTAACTCATTGAATTCATATGACAGGCCTTTGAAGTAGGAACTGATGTAAGCATTAACCCACAGAGGTAAAAGTGTTACACCACTATTAAGGACATTTTGGAATATTATGTGCAAATCATCTTTAGAAAGGAAGTCTAATCAAATATGATTAGATCATTAAACTTTTAGGCTTTATTAAGTTCTGATAGGTAATTAAATGCAACTTAATTCTCTCACTCCTTTCTACTTAGCAGAGTTATTTGAGCTCTTTTCCATGAAGTTAATTTGTTCAGACATTTTCTGGCATATATATGAACTTTAAAAAAAAATCAAGAAAGTAATTAAAGGCCACTTTTATCCTTGAAGTTACTTTCTTATTTAACTGTGCTATTCATTTGCAAAATAATACAATTTTAAGCACTTATTTTAGAAAGTTGATTGGGGTTGGGAGCAAAGTTTGAGAAATCCTACCAGTCACTATTTTCTCAATAATAGGGTTAATGTTAAATTAAATAATCAAATTGTGTACTCCAAATTTAGCTATTGGTCACAGTTTGTAGTAATCCTTCCCATGTAATGTATTACTGTATTACAGAGGATTTATTTGAGTCTTTCCCTTTGTTTCTTCTCCAGATCCTTCACGAAATGATGGAAGAGATTGATTACGATCATGATGGAACGGTATCTTTGGAGGAATGGATTCAAGGAGGAATGACAACGATACCCCTGCTTGTGCTTCTGGGCTTAGAGAATGTACGTGTGCATGCAGTGGAGTTCTCTATTACAGCTTTTGATTAGAAGTTGGTGTGGGCCTGGGGAGATAGCTCTGTGGTCTAAGCACGTGCCTGGCAAGCACAAGGCCCCTACTTCAATCGTCCATAGTGCAAGCAGTGCTGGCCCCAGAACAAGGCATGGTGGCACACGCCTGTAATCCCAGAGCTAGGGAGGCTGAGACAAGAGGATCACTATAAGTCTGAGCTATGTATAGAGACCCTGCACCAAATAAACAAATAAAATACTAAAGAAAATTATAAATAAATAAATTGATCTGACAATTTTCTATCACTAAGCATGTAGTAAGTGCCTCAAACTTCTAAAAACCATACCAAGGTGCCATTTAACAGTGACTCCTTGTGTGGCAGTAATTGCCACAAGCGTATCAATTCATGTGAAGCAATACCTGACGTCTGTGTATACCTTTCCTCTCTTTTTTTTTTTCTTCTACTTAAAGTGCAGTCTAGGGGCCCAGGGAGATGGCTCACCAGGACAAGCGCTTCCCTGGCAAGCGCAAGGGCCTGAGTTCAATCCCCTGCTCCAAAAAGAAAAAGAAAGAAAAAGAAAAGTGCAATCTACTTTTGGAAAATTATTGACTACTCACATATCATCTAATGCAAGAAACTCACTAATATTTCTGTCCTATACAGTGCTTGTGACCTCATTCCAGAGACCCATGCCATCAGTGTCATCTACTTTATTGATATCCAGTACTTGCAAATTAGGTGTAGGTTTTCTGGGCAGTTGATATATATATATATCATTAATATATATATTTAATGAATCCAGTGACAATTGCATTGGCAATTAAAAATTGATTTGGAGGAATAAAGCACATACATCTTCTATCACAATTAAAATAATGACTCTAAAAGCAAATCTTGCTGACCAATACCGGAAGTCAATTTCAGGACTTACATGGAGAACCTGATGACGTTACCAATCAATGCCAGATCTTGTATTTAGCATCAGTTGTTGAATAAGAATGAACCATAATATGTACATAGTAACACATTTACTTAGATCCAAAGAACATTACTGGTGAAAGGCACATAAAAGTTTATAATATTTAAAGCTTAGACTAGTTAAGAGCTAATAAAACGTATAATATTTAAAGTTTTTAGAAACTAGAATATACGGTTCACCACTGTATTGCTGTCCTCAATATTTTTCATGTTTTCTATTAGTGTCAAGACAAACTTCCAGGGCTGGTGAGATGGCTCAGTGGTCTAAAGCACCTATTTAGAACAAGCTTAACAAAGCACAGGGACCGCGGTTCAATCCCCCAGCACCACATGCCAGCCAGCCCCGCCCCCTGGTGGGCTGAGCTGGCCACACACACACACACACACACACACACACACACATAAATAAAAAATTTAAAAAAAGAAAAAAAGACAAACTTCCAGATTAAAGTGCCTGCTTATGCAGATGCAGAGGCCGGAGTTCAATCTCAGGCATGCTGTGCTGGCCCCTGCCCCCGGGACATGCTGAGAAGGTGACTGAGACTGGGGGTGACTGAGACTGGGCATGGTGGCATACATGTGTAATCCCAGCACTTGGAAGGCTGTAAACAGCGGATCAGTACGAGTCCGATCTAATAGTGAGACCTTGGGCACCCTGTAGTCCCTTTCCTAAATAAATAAATAAATAAATAAAAATAAAAACAAAATTCACCACTCAAGGTACCTGACAGATTCTTAAGCCGTGTTGAGACTATGGCTTTAGGACTGTGCACGTGAGCTTAGTGCTCGGAAACATTTGACTGTGGTAATCAATGGATGGCTTCAGGAGATTGTTTCTTTTGTATCTGTACGTTAATAGATAGCGGAATCTATTTCCTTTGTGTCTGGAGCTTCAAATATTTTAATATTACTTTCATCTTATATTTTATAAGGCCTAATGGGTTTTAGTCATGGTTAGAGGGGCAAGAAATTAAAAGTGCTAGTAGGTACTACATAAGAAATTAAAATAAGTTATAAATGATGATCTTATTGGTCATGAATATGAATTTCACACTTGGCTAAGGAAACAGGACTTCTTCATCAGTAATGTATTTTATACGTATATCTCCTGAGGAAAGTGTCATTTGGACAGACGACAAGGAGCAACCAAGAGAATAATTTTTTAAAGGGTGCCGTTTAAACTTGGCGTGTTTGGGGCCAGCCAGATAGCTCAGCGGTCTAGCGTGCCTGCGGCGGCAGAGCGCGGCGCCTGGGGTCGGATCCGCGGCGCTTGGGGCCGGCGCGTCCATCCCCGGGGCGCACTGAGACGGAGACTGAGAGCGCGCGTGGTGGCGCGCATCTGTAATCCCAGCTCTTGGGAGGCTGAACACAGGCGGATTGCTACGAGTCTGGTCTACATAGTGAGACCCTGTCCACCCTGTGGTCCTAAATTCATAAAATAATAATAATAATAAAATTAAAAAATAAACAGCGTGTTCTATGAGTCCAAAATAGTCATGTGACTCCATTCAGGAAATCTCACTAATGATTTCCTACAGGGGAAGTTTGTATTTTAAAGTGGACACTTGTGTATTCTCTGTGCCTTCATAAATTATCTTACAAATGAAGAACCTGAGAGGCGAGGGAGGGGAGAGGACATCTTTCCGAGTTGGAAATGAGCCAGGCAAGAGCGCAGAGGAAGAGTGTGGCCTGTATGCTAGATTTCACGTGTGTGTTGGAAGGCTATTAGATACTATTGCTTAGAATGCGTGGCTAACGCGTTGCACCAATCTACATGGTTCAAGCTCAACGTATTTTAAACAGATATAATACGTAGTTCATTAGTTTCTAGTGTTACGGACACTTTAACCAAATGAAAAAGCCTTTCCCTTAAAGTTGACGTGATTAATCATGTATAACGAACTTTAAATTTTCCTTGTAATTCAATATTTTGTATTTTTAGAGCAAAGAACAAAATTTTAACAGAACTCAGTTTAGGGTTTGCCGCGTCCCAGAACTGCGTTCCTCGCTGCGACCGCTAGATGGCAGCGCTACATTGCTTAACATCAGAGGGCACTTTTAAAAATTGTTTTGCATGTCAAGAACTCTGGTGGGGGGAAAAAAGAAATTTCTCTTTTCTTTTTACATCTTTAAAAACATAAGGTAACTATGGTTAAAGTTTTCTTTTACTGAAATACACAAACCCTCTAACACATGTAATGATCATAAAACATGAATTTGCTTGAAACAGCTTTGTAATTCTCAGGCGTGACATATATTTTAAATAGCCGGAGTGACACGGAGACAGTTGAATGCTGACAGCCTTGCTTTAGTAATTGAGATTTATTTCCTTTCAGTAGTCAGCTAATGTGTTGTGTTATTACCTATGTCCGTAGTATGACACCTCCCACCTCCCAGCCCACATTTTGCTTATTAAACGGAATTCTAGAAGCTTCCGCTTGAAGTCGGCCAGCAATTGCGAAGCCTGCCTTGTTATGTTGTCTTGTATATTCTTGTCTGTTGTCATTTGTGAGCCTGAGGAGCAGATTATAATTGAGAGTGAGTGTGAAATACCACAGTGTATTTGAAAGCGCTGCAGAGTGCTAACCAAATTATAGAGCTAGGAGAACCTCCCTGGGAGAGCCAGCCTTATTTCTAACAGTTATGGTTTCATTGAAGTTTATTTTTCTCCATCAATAGAACCCTAAATGCTGCTTTACTTTAAATCATATGTTTTGCTATCAAAACTCAAAAATGTAGTTCACTGGGACCTGATTCTCTGCCAGAGAGAAGACAGCAAGAATGACTTCATTTCTCTCAAGAAGGTTTGTGCAGTCCTCAGAAAAGGCAAGATGAAGTGGTCGGAAAAGTCTTGCTGTCTGGTGCACGTGAAGCTGACAGTCTGGATAGTTCAGAGATTTTGATGACTGCTATCAAATGTTTCCACCTGAGCCTGTTCAGGCTTTCCTCAGCATGTGTATCACTGAGCATTTTTTAAAGATGTCACAGAATGAAGAATGTTTTTCTTCGTTAGTAATTATCTGTGTTAGTGATTGGCATCTATAAAGGGACAGATATTAATGAGTTTAGGCTGCAGACCCGGAAGGCCTCTGTTACAACTGCTCAGATCCGCTGCATATAGCACAAGCTTTCTGAGATGTTGTGCAACTGAGCTTTCATCCTTATCAACTCTATTTGCCAAAACAGGTTGCTAGAAAGATTTGACCCAATGCCACATTTTGGCAATCACTGATAGGTTCTGTCACTACTTTGTCAGATCACCAACAGAAGGAATTTCAGTTCATTTTAATTCAGTCAGGAAAAATAAGTCTAACACCCCTTAGCAGATGGGAACTAACGTCAGACTTGATGACCGGTGGAAAGAGTGCAGAGAAGCAAAGGATTTCATCAGATCAACCTTTACTTTAGTTCTGTTGTTAGTTAACTGCATTATATTATGCAGACAGCTACTCTTTCTAGGAAAAAAAAGTAGCCAAAAGCCTATTTCCTTTTCCAATATTATTCTAGTTTTAACATTCCTTTTTCCAGATGAACAAAATAATAAATAGTGCTGTACTTCCTGAAACCTATAATCTCAAATCTTCGCTAATTTGTTCCAGGAAAAATTCTGAATTAGTAATATCATATAAGTAGGAGTGCCAATTTAGGTATTACACATACTTAACAGATTTAAGAATTGCATATGTTAAGGTAACCTTCATGTGAGAGTACTCTAGCTTCTTGATTGTGGATTGCAAGTTAGCATCGAATTTATGATGATTTGAATGGTTGCTTTCCTCACGCACCGTGAGTACAAAATCCCCTTAGCCTTTAGTCCTAACATGTGCTTTAAATTTTGCCTATGAGATGATTCAGGACATCTTTTTTTTTTCTCTCTCAAAAAAAAAGGACACTATTTTATGTTCTCTGGTAAAATATCTGAGTAATAGAATTCAGAAGATGATGTATCTTTAATTGAATAATTTAGAAAACTTACAGTTCACATTCCAATTTTGAACATTTTGATTGGATTACAAGTTTGGTTCTGCTCTAAGCACGGCTCCACCTAAACTGCAGTTACAACACAAGAAAGATGTGACCATTCTTGAGATTTCAGATATGGCTCTTAAAAAAGATTTTGTGATGTTCAAATTTTTGAGCTTGCGTTGGAAGCGTGGGAATCACAGGGATTCACCCTGAAGGCAGAAGGTACAGCCTGAAAATCGCCAGTTGATTGCAAGCCAGCCCTGAATGCTGTCACCGCTCCCTAAATGGCCTAGTTCCAGGCGAGTTCATCTTTTTGTCTAAAACAGTGGTTTGTTTCATCTTCACATGTGTCTTTTATGACCTTCAACAAAATAGTTAGAAGGTTATTTAAAGTGTTGGAATAGTCCACAACATGAGCAGTTCTGTATATCCCGTGTAGGTCAGTAGAAACACGCCTGGATGTAGGACTGGCGGGACTTGGGTCGGGAGATACGTGCCTTTTCTCCTTGAAGTTTTTGGGAAATAATGTTCGCATTAGCTCTGCTTCACTGCAACATTATATAGGACATTGAATATATTTAGCAAATAAACTAGATCTTTTGAAGTTACTGAGTGAGTGAAGCAGTTCCAGTATGTCCTAGCGGACGTTCTGCCCACTGAAACATCACTTTGGCTTGGGGTGAACTGAGGGCTGAGGAAGAGTTGCCAAGCTGCTCCTGTGCCAGGAGGAGCCCGGGATTCATTCCACATCTCCTGCTATCCTGAACCCAGAGCTGAGCCACGTCATTCCGCCCCAAGGCGTCCTGCCCAGCAATGAAACATCAGAAGGCAAATTTTGTGTAAAGCTATATAGTGAGCCTATAGATATTTTTCTGAATTCCTTTGGTTGAAACCCTGGGAAGTTACCCTACCAAACCCAGCCGTGGTACTAATATTTGGTATCTATATAATGCTGGTCTGCTGAGGTGCTAACTCAGTGGCACAGGTATTACATAATGGAGCCTCCCACAGTGGCCTGCGCAAAGGAAGTGAGTGCTTCCATTTTATTAGAGAGGAAAATAGGAAGAGAAGAGAAATGGCTTATTCACAATTTTCGGCCCAGGCCAGGAACCAACCCTCCATATTCTCTGTTTATTTTTTTATATATAAAAGTGAATTTCTTTCTTGGCAATAAATATTTATTTGTAACAGAAATACTAATAGAAATGTGCTCTACTGGCTGATAGACTAGGAAGACAGCTTTTTTCTTCCCACTAAGTTTACGATCCAAGTAAGATAAACAAGACAAGACGTGAAAGTCACGAAAGTGGGAGTGGAACTGGCAGTCCTGAGAAGTGGTTGGTCCCTGATTGCAATTGCTCCTCCCAAAGAAGTCGCATATATATTTTATCCCTTGCATATTTTGGCGATACATCCGGCTAAGAGCTCTAAGCTATTTAATTTGTGTTTTGGTACAGCGTTTTCTGCCTGGGTAATGGCTTTGTGCATCAGTCGCAGCCGGTTACATGGCTAAGCGTTCTGATTGACAGAACACCCACGCTCAGACTTGCTTATTTTTTGATAAGAAAATGCCAGCTAACTCCGTCCATATGTGCTCTGCAACCGGCTGAGGCTCATTCCCATGGAATGGACAATCATTTAAAAATAAAATCTCAAGGAATATAAGAACAGTAGCATAGAGGAAAATTAGACTTTTTTTCATTTCTCCTTTTATTTCAAATATTTAAAGAACTTTTACCATTCTCTTCAATGCTTATTAGTTTATTTGTAAAAATTAATGAGCCTATATTTTAACTTTTTCCATTAGATATTTAGTTTTTTACTGTGATTAAAATTGGAAAATGCAGGGTTTGCCAAATACAGCAAAATTAAATATTATTGTATTTATATTGTACAGCTTCTAGGGATTTTACAGACTTAATCAAACTAGAATGCAAAGCTTTTATGCTTTAGTATTGGAAGAAAACTAAACCAGGTGTAGCTTGAAGCCTCAGGAAACCTTCAGCATGGCTAATTGTGTTGAGAGTCCTTTAATCCCTGGTCAGGAAAATAAATGTGAATATTTTTGATATTTGTAAAATATCTGGGATTCTCCTTCATGAGTGTGGTTGAGTTAGTTGGCCGTGCTTTCCTGACTTCCAGCAAAAGACATGAGGCTGCTAAACAAGACAGTGAGACGAAGTACTCAAAGTAAGCAGCCGAGCTTCATGCGGAAGTCAGTTTGCCTCTTTCCTCAGTTTCATGCAGACTGTTATGATTTGTGTCTAGATGCGTGCGCGCGCGCACACACACACACACACACACACGCATGCATGCACACACACAGCTGCATGCCTTAAGCTCTTTTAGAGGTGGACGAATCTAGATGTGTGATGCTGGATTGGAGGTGGGTGGTTGCTAAATCAGTCCACCCCTAAGTTTAGCACCGCCCTAATCCCAGAAGTGTAGATATCATTAAGCAGAAAGATGTCATGAAGCTCTCTTGCTGCCTTGACTTTCTGCTGCCATGTACAGTTGCCCCTCTGTCATATGACACCCTCCCTTGGACCCAAATGTGGACTGAAACCTCTATAACCTGTGAGCTCCATAAGCCTTTCCTCCTGTAACCTGGGATGTCAGGTGATTTGTATCAGCAACAAGAAAAATAAATAAGACAGGGATGATGGTGCATGACCTAAGTTATTGCAATGCACAGGACCAGAGCTTAAAAACTGGTTCAGAGAACTTCACCTCTTAATAAACTAAATAGGAACCTACTGAACCTTTTCTAAGAGGTATAAGATCATCTGTAAAAGCTTGGACAATTAATAAACCTGCCCCCTCCTCTTGCGGAAGACACATCTCTATTGTCCAAGGCTGCATACTATCCAAGTATTTTTGAAAGCTTTTATAAAAAAACATGTTTCTGCTAGCAAAATATACTAGCAGAAGTTCAGGAGACCCATGGAGAATTATCTACCAGGAAGCATTTTCATTAATGTTTCATATTATGATGCAAATTTGACATTTCTGATTCCAATGTAAGACTGAGTTATTATAGATCTTCTCAACTCTTTCAAATCTAGTCCCTTATCTCTTGATTGAGAAGACCAAAATGTGGTTGGGGCATTCTTATTAACATTTTATTCTCAAAAGAGACAAAATGACTTGGGATGTTCATATCGTCATATTCCTACACAATTAGTATTGCTTCCCAGACCCAAACAAGTTATCTACAAGTATTTGGTGAATGTATTCCAAGAAATATGATGGTTTCTTATTAACAACATATATATATATATATATATATATATATATATATATATATAGTGAATGAGTCCATCTGAAGTTAATGCCAGTGTCCAACAAATTAGCAAGCAAAGAGTTCATTTTAATACAAAATGATATTATAGGAACAATGACACATACTAAATTCATGGGAAAATTTGACTTGTAGGGAACTCAGGGTTCATTAGCATCATATTATTTTGTGTTATTTTTATCTTCAACAATGTTGCTATCATTAACCTGATTAGAGAAGTAGTTATAGTATTACATTGTGTTCATTTTGCCTGTTAAACTATAATCATAATACCTTTGTTAAAACTGTAAAACAATATAAATTCTAGTTTGTGGCAAATAACTAAAGCGATTGCTATAAATATATTGATATGGGTTTAGTATGTCATCACCCTTTTGTAAGAGTAAATGTATTCCTATTTTACAAAAGAGGAATAAACAAATGATAATGTAATTAGGCCCTTAAAATGTTTGCCTATTAAAATTTATTGAGAAACGAAACATATTACACCAACGTGGAGTACCTGGAGCACCCGCAAGTGAGTATCATCGTGTCTCCTTTGCGCGGCTCTTCCCGATGGTTGCCTCCCACGCCTCTGCTGTCTTCGAAGAACAAGCACCATCGTCAAGCTTTTGCATAGCCTAGAGCCTACTGACAACCAAGGGTTAACATCATCTTTGCAAGTTTCCATTTCTCAGGCTCATCCAGTCAGTAATACTTTCTTTCTCTTTCTCATTTATTTGTTTGTGGAATTACGCTGAGGGTAAAGTCTTGGAAGAGAAGGCAGGTACATCCTTGTTCCTAGCAAGTGCTCCATGCGGAAGGTCATTGGGCTGGTTTTGAGTGTGCTGTTGAACTGTTGACATGAGACCAGAATTTGTGGGTTACTATAACATCCGAGATTTGTTATCAATATCTCATTCCACAAGAGCACATGTGTTTTCCTAAAGACTCTGTGGCGAACTTGGAGAAAGTCAGAGATGAAATAACAGATTGTCTTCCAGTGCTTCAGCCCAGCTCTGAATTATATTGGCACCTACATATTCTACTGTTTATTTCATTAAGTGAAATCTGTTTCTTTTACGCCCCGTGCAGAATGTGAAGGATGACGGGCAGCACGTGTGGAGACTCAAGCACTTTAACAAGCCTGCCTACTGCAATCTCTGCCTGAACATGTTGATTGGCGTGGGGAAGCAAGGCCTCTGCTGCTCCTGTGAGTACCGTCCTCGCTGCCAGGGCGCCTGCAGCTCACTTGGGAGCGGCTGGCTTCATGGGCTGCTCCTCTTTATAGGTGGAGACCCACTGAGTGGTCCAGACCCTGCCTGTTCCTAGGACTGTCAGTTTTAGGATTTTCTTGCTAAACATTTGATCCACCTGAGTTTTACATTTTTTTTTTTTAATTTAGGAAATTCTTCCTTAAAAGAAACAATTAAGGGGATTTTCCATTTCTTTATTTTCTTCTCAGGAAAGCTTATTTATGATTCTCTTTTATTTGGGGATTATTTCCAAAATGTCCACGAATTTTGCTCTTGCATATCTTATTCATAGCTATTCCTTTCTTCTCCCGTCTAAGTTAGTCACTTTATTCCTAGTAAATGAGCCAATTCCTTCAGGCCTTGGGAAAAAGTCACAGTGATTGATTAAAAATAGGTTTGCAATCGAATCAAGAAATTTAACAACTTAAAAGCATTATTTTCATGCTATCATAAACAAAATACATGGATATTGGAGTGCAAAGTGTTGCTGGTTCCTGAGTTTCGTGCATTCGCGTCATTTCATTTTCATTCTCTTTTCAAGTTTCATTTTATTCTCCAAATTCAGAGGACTTAAAATTTCATTTATAAATTATAAAATTTATTTATCTTTAAATCTACCATAGATTTATCTGAGAGGATTTTATACTCCTGACACTCCTGGTTATTCAGAGGAGACGCCATCCTCTTACTTAATGATGAAATTGTTCCTTTCTTCAGTAATTTGCTTATCCCTACCCCTTTCTACTAGGTACAAAGTTACTGCAACTCCTGAATCTATCAAACATGATATTAGGGGGTGTGTACTCTAACTTTTAAATCCGGCTTCCTACAAGATTTTAGATATTTAATATTAATGATTGTTTATGCTTGGGAATTCACCCTCAGATTTATTATTTGACATTAAAAGGGATGTTTTAGTATATCTATATAATTTCTTAAGTGTTTTGGGATTTTCAAACATTTCATGAACTTTGCCACATTTTTAAGACAGTTTCTGATCACTATTAGTTATACCAGAGCATTTGACATGCACAGTGAAAATGCTTTGGTTCCAAATCTCTGTGATTGTTTTCAAAGAAAACGATATATTTGATGATATCAGATGTTGATATGAGCATATAAAAAACTCTCAAGGTGAGTTGTAGCTCCTGAGAATTTTTTCTCACAGTTTTTCCCTTTTTAGTGTACGGAAGATAATACTTGCAACATGATTGCTTTAGAAAGGAGTAGAAAAAAATTTTTTTTTCCTCAGTTGTGCCAATAACAATCACGGATATGATATTTTCTAGAATTTTACTCCTTGAATACTATGTGAATTTAATGTTTTCATTCACATTTCAGGAAGTGTTTAGTTTGTTTGATTTTTTTTCATTTTTATTGTATGGACTACCTGATTTTTTAGTGTTCTATATATTGATGCATTTAGAACTCATTTATAATGAAGATTTTATAAAAGACTACATGTATGTTACTGTAATTTTATTCAAGTTCAATTCTTATGTGAAGATGTGAAAATTGTATATGTTAGAATTGTGATCTATTATACATATACATATATTTGCTTGTACATGTTTATATACACACTTGCATACAAATGAAAGCTTTGCTTACGTATGCCATATACTATCCAGTAGGAATTATTTTGGGGTGGCAAATGATCCTATAATGTGAATTAAAGGGCAAACTTTTACTTCAAGCCAGGTATGTCTGATGAATTCTCTTCTCTAGAAATAGTATAAGCAGCCACTTAAGGTTTACATCAAACAATAGAAAAAATAGTATAAACTCATAGGCTTCTCTTCCAGTGTTCTGCGGCTGAACTATAGATCTCTTTCTTCTAGCAGTGACACCAAGCCATTTGGCAGTCATCAATTTGTCTTTAATATTTTTGTCATCTGGAAATTATTGTGAAAAATTCAAGTGAGGGCTGATTTAATTAAGCATTTCCTGCTATGCCATGATAGAGGGGTCTTGGTTTTTCACATGCATAATATTTCCTGTACTAATTGGCCTTTTGTACTCCATGGTAAAAACAGTCGACATGGACTTTTCCTTGATGTGGCTGATTGCATTGATTAGGGAGCAGTGGATATGAAATGAGGTTCTGCTAATGCCGTTCTTTCCCTGTGAAATTGCAATCAGGACCCGGATTAGCTCTGAATCTGTGTACCTGTTTTCTTTCAGTCTGCAAATACACAGTCCATGAACGCTGTGTGGCTAGAGCCCCTCCCTCTTGCATCAAGACCTACGTGAAGTCCAAAAAGAACACGGACGTAAGTGTGTGGCCGCGCTTGCTTGCTGTGCGTGGTGGTGATGGATATTGCTTCTTACCTTGATGCTGCTGTTCTTCTGTTCTAGGTCATGCACCATTACTGGGTTGAAGGCAACTGCCCAACCAAGTGTGACAAGTGCCACAAAACAGTAAAATGTTACCAGGGCCTGACGGGACTGCATTGCGTTTGGTGTCAGATCACAGTGAGTAATTATATCAAACAAATCCTAGCCTTCACTCACAGACAAGGCAGTACATCCAGGCATCTGGGACTGCTACATGGAATGGCTTCTTTAGTGTTGGAATCAATTAACATAAAACTGTGAAAGCTTATTACTGCTTCAGGCTTCCAAAGGGATAGGATCAGGTCAGATTTGTCTTTAAAGAATCCAGAAATTGGGAACTAATAACAATCTTCCGGTTCACACTAGCATATTGTTTTCAAACTGTGTTCCATGGAACCATAGGGGTTCCCAGGAAGGCCAACAGAGCTGGTGGTCACAGGTAGGCAATTAGAATATGCACTATCTAGGATGAGCTCCACCTCCCTCTATATTGTAAGTGCTTTCTCTTATCTATATTGTGAATTTATTTTAAATGAGGTTCTTGGGGCAACAAAAAAAGGGGGGAGGTTAGAAAAAAATGAAGGAGGTGTTGAAAAAAAACATTTATTGTATAATAAAATGAAGAATACTTCAAGTTAAGCAAATTGTCTTTGGCCACGTGGTGAGGTACAAAGGGGAGAAGTCCACCTGCTACGTCTTGCTGTTTCTTGGAACTCGTATGACCCCAGCTGCCAACACGTTGTGGGCTTGCTTATCCAGGTGACTTTTAAGTTGGAGGAAAAGAGATTTAGACGTCAATGCCAAACACATCATTGTATTGACAATTAAGAAAAATCAATCTCTCTTGAAACACTTTAGGACTCTTCCTGGCTTCGATGAAGGTCAAAACCATTCAAAAATACCTTTTGGGGAATGAAAATGAGATGTAGAACCTCTAATATTTTATGTTTATTTTCTGGAAATTAATTAGAATTTACATTTTCCATAATGTCTGTTTTTCTTAATAGAATAACCATCATTTATGAGACTAGAAGTTTCCTAGTTTTACCCTCATTAGATAGTTTGACTACTTGTATAGTAATAATGCTTTTCTTTTGAAAGCATAAAATAGAAGGGGAAACTGAGTCACCTAAGTAAATAAATTGCTCCACAATGTTCATCTTCAAGTACCAAAACACTGGTTACACAGTATTCTTAACAATGCATGCACACACACACACACACACACGCACACACGCACACATATACAGTATAATGAGAAAAACAATCTATGGCTTATATTTCAAAATGCAATTAAGCACTTTCTTTTTTAAAAAATGAACATACTTTTTTCCCTCATTTTCACATATTACCCAGTTACATCACATTTCCTTGTCAAAAATTGCTACATTATGAAAGATATTTTCAGTTTTTAAAATGTTGGTTATTATAATAAAATGCCTAATGATGATTTCAGTTGCACACACGTTATACTTACATTGAATTCCCACTTTCAAGAAAACAACCTTTGTTTCAATTGTTTAAAAAAAATCATGTACATTGGATTCTGGTTTTTGCTAACTATCTGCAAGATCCACACAGATTTGTTTCAGGTCTTATGGGAGGCTGCTTCTCTTGTTTTCACCTGAGTCTTGATGCAAGTACAAATTGTAATTAGAAAATATCAGAATAAATTTTATGCTTATGTTTAAAATTGTTTTCCTCTTTAAAAAGAAGCCTTTATTGTAATGCCTTAATTTTGTAATTTTTATTTTCTTTTTTAAATTGCTTAACTAAGGTAATATTTCAAAACCATGAAAAGCTTGAATGTTAAACTTTGCATTGCTGCCGCTGCAAATATAAAAACATTTAAAGATCTTGGAATTTTTTATTTCATTCCCCACTTTCACTTGCAGTTTAGTCTCCATGAGTGCATCTTCCACCTTTCCCATTTTATAGGATCTGTTCTCCCCCAGGTCACCATGGGTGAGGTCTCCTACTGGTACTCTGAGGATTTTAAAATAATTTCTTGTTTATATATTCCAGTCTTTTTCTTATTCTCTCTTTTTTTTGTCTGTTTGTTTGAATGGTTCCTTCTGTCTGTGCCTTCATAGTCTTCACCTAGACCATGAACAAATAAAGGTATCATACACAAATCATTCCTTTATCTTTGGTCAAAGCTTGTCATATCCTTCCATTTACCATAAAAACAGGTGTTATGTGAATAAAGACTGATTTTGAAATATAACTATTTTAGGCTTTTGCTCAGTAGTACAAGCACCTGCCTGGCAAGCACAAGGTTCTAAGTTCAATTCATGGTACCAGAATAAATAAAAAAATAAATCATGATTTCATATTCTAAATGAGTTCAGTCAATAGATTCCTAAGATTTTATTTTTATAGTACAGATAAGTACATGATACTATAGCAGAACACAACATAAATTGTAAATATCTTTAAATCCAAGCTCTAAATCAAACAGTCACTGAATTTTATTTGGGAAAAAAATGCCACCTAGTAGGTCCAAGAGAATTAATTTAGTGTTAGGGGGGAAAAAAAGATAATTGCTCCAGCAGCTCCCCTTTCATTAAACTCTCCCATGTCCTGAGGCTCATGGCCTGTCTCAACTAAGAATCAGGAGGTCCAGGCTTTGCGTAGTCTCATATCTTGCATTCTGTGAGGCAGTATTCACACAATTTTAAAAACATATGTGGAAGAATTTATAGCCTTCTCAAAAGCAACTTCTGATGTTGTGTATTTTTAGCATTTTAATTTTAACAAGTTGCGGGAATGCTTTCATTAATTTAATGATTTTCCTGGCTAGTTGACACAATGTGTTTATTTCAGATCACTTGTGTATCTAGCGGCATTCATAGAAAACTTTGAATGGGCCACTGTTTGAAAATTTTAGTGTAAGACCGACTTGTACTTGAGTAACATCCACCTACTACTTCTAATGACTTCTGACTGACTAAACCTACTTGCTTTAGTTCTTGTAGTTTGCAGAAAGGGTCGTATGTGGAAAGAGTTGCCAGTCACTATTATTAGAGGGAAGAGCAAGTGTTCTTGAGACGGAGCCTTAAGAAGGCCTGTCAGGCTAACTCTAGGGATAGTCACTGCAGAGGGAAAAGAAAGAGTGAAAGTTATCAGCCTTTCAAGGTATGACCAAAGGCGGGCTGGAGAGATGGCTCGGTGGTCTAAAGCACCTACTTAGAACAAGCTTAGCAAAAGCATCAGGGACCGCGTTCAATCCCCCAGCACCACATGCCAGCCAGCCCTGCCCCCTGGTGGGCTGAGCTGGCCTCTCTCTCTCTCTCTCTCTCTCTCTCTCTCTCTCTCTCAAATAAATAAATAAAATTAAAAAAAAATTTTTAAAAAAAGGTATGACCAAAGGCTTTACTGCCTTTTTATTTATGACTTTTGGAAATCACTTAAGTATAGGTCAGGTCAATCAGATTCTTCATTACTGTGTGTCACTTACTAGTTGTGCTATCGAGGGTTATGTGTGTTACTAGTTTTGACCAATCTTTTGTTTTATAAAATGGAGCTAATGATCTCTTTACCATAGTGGTATTATAAAGATTAAATGGGTAAAAGAAATACATGTATTGGGGCTCCCATAGAGGCCCTCAGACATAGTTAAGTGCTCAGGAAGAGGTAATCCATGCAGTGAGAGCCAGGCAAATCATCCCATTGGTGCCCTTCAAACCAACCCTGTCATCCAGAGCACACCTCTGAGGGATCTGTGCTGCCTGGCCTGAGTGAGAACAGAGCCTGCATGTCTTGAAAGTGGTCAGGATGGATGCTGTGGCCCCACCAAGCTCAGGAACTGCGCTGTCCAACAACAGCTGCTCCAGAGCTCCTGTTCAGTCAGACATGGTGGACCATTCCCCAGGCATTGCAAACACAGTTAGGAGTGAATTTCTTTTACTCTGTTATTTTACCTTTATCTCATTTTTACAGTCTGTCACTGAGCCTTGACTTTTCTTTCTTAAAATATCTCTCTCAAATCTGGGTTTTTGTCTCCACATTCACAACCCTAGTACAAGCTCTTAGCACCTCTTGCCTAGATTCGAGTAGAATCTCTTGGCTTATCTCCCTGACAGAAGGTACATTTTTCTCTATTGCAGCCTACATACCACCTCCAGGAAGATCTTCCAAAAATACTGATTTGTTATTATAGGCCTTCTTCAGCACCCTCTGATAATTCTGCTTATCTCAACCCATCAATTCAATTTGGCTTTCAGTTCCTCAGAATTCAGACCTGAACCTAAGCATATGATAGGATTAGCCCACAGGTACTCCCTCCATGTTAGCTGCCTATTTGTTGGCAATTCCTTGTGAAGACCATGTTGTCATTTTATTCTGCCCCTTCACTTCATTCATCTCTTTTTACATTCTTACTTTAACTCAGGAACCAAATTCTGTATCTTCCTTGAATATTGTTTTACATGAGTATTTCCTTTTCCTAAATACTATATTTATGTTTTCTCCACACCAAGAAGTAAGACTAAATTGTTCTCCATGAGTTTCATGTCTGCAACAAACTTGGCCACACTACTTGTCCAATCTTTTTCAGATGCACATCAATGTCACATGTTTTGGGTTTTCTTTTTTTGCCATAATCAGTTGACATTCTTGATACAGCATTACATTTAGAGAAAATCCTCAATAAGTTTGCTTCATTGACTCAAATATTCTTCTCCTTACAACTAAAAACTGAATTTAACACATAAACCATGTAAATATTGTTTTCAGATATCATCCTGCCATATTCCAAAATATATGTGATAGGTAGGATGATATTGAATATTGAGAAAGTTTTAAAAACAAAACCTGTTGTCTCTCTTGGTGTCAGTCAGTCTTCATGATGTCTTGATACCAGCTTTCCACCTTACAGGTATGTAGCTAACCCTTACAGTGAGGTCTTACCTCCTCTGGAGATGTAACCACTTGAAAAAATGACAGCATTAACTACCTAAATAAAAACAGTGGTAAAGCAAATTCCCTGACTCAGCCAACTCATTCCTGTGCTTTCATCTGTGAAGCAGGCAGGGTATGCACTTAGACACTTGACTCTTTATTTATTTATTTATTATTTATTTATTTTTTTCTTCCCATAATTTTATTGATAAATAAATAGCAATGAGACAGTTTCG